TATATATATATATATATATATATATATATATATATAAGAGTTAAGATTGATCCGGATAGTTATCTTGTCTTAGTGTTAACTTAAGAATTTTACAAGAATGAGTCACAGCTCTGATGATGTCCATCGAATGATGGACGAAGGCTCAGCCCGTTTTCACCCGAAACGAGGGAGGAGGACCCGTGGACTTCGTCAACCTGAACGTCGTATAAAAGCAAAATGGCTGCAGTACAACAGTAGTCATCCGTCCTCTTCTGGTGAGATCGACCTATGAATTTCTTATTCATGTAATTTCATACGAAATTAAAGTATATACTTATTCACTTTGTCTCACAAAAATATTCATTAATGAATTATTTGGTTTGCATAAATTATAGTTATTGTCATTTTTCAAAGAACTATTAATAAAATTCTTCTATACACTTGCTCATCCATCTTCATGGAAATTAACCATTAAGTGGAATACCTCAATTGTGCTGCATTGATAAATACTGAATGATCTTTTCTTAAAAGTGTTTGATAATTGTTCGTGGGAAAATTTGGGTTTCAATGAATCTCATGGTTTTTAATTGTTGAGCTCACTCTCATTTTGAATAAAAGTGTTTGGTATTGAAAGGTCGATCACACCATAAGACAATGAAGTATTCATCTACGCCGTCAAACGATGGACGAAAGTTTAGCATACCAGACCATACCAGCGACCATACAAGAGGCCACAAGATCTTGGTCCTCATATCTTCAAAAGCTTAGCATGTTTCTCCCGGAATAGAAGGAGGCTGCTTCAGAAATAGCGTCAACAAGAATGCTCCAGTTCGGAGGAATTCGCCTTGGACTTCTGGTGGAATTGACCTTCGAATCTCTTCACCAAACACTTTCACTCGAATTAAAAGTCAAATTAACAATTAATAATTATTATCAAGTTATAGTTCTATTATCTAATTAGTCTGACCAAGTTATTACTAAAGTTTCAAGCCATTAATTTGTCTGCACATAGTGATAACATATATAACCAAGTAAATTGAAATATTACATTCTTTATTCTATTGTGGATCTATCTGACACTTTAATTGAATAAATGAGAAAATCACAACCTTAGCACGGCATGGAAAATTTAAATTATTGCATGAATAAGAGCAAACCGCTATTAAGAATGATGTAATAAGCTAATGGATATGCATAAAAATTATGATAAAACTTGCACTCATCTACACTATAAAAAGATAGGCTATAACATTTTGCTTACCTGTACTTGATAGGCAAGCTCATTAATGCCTTCCCCACTTTATCCACATCAACAACCAGATGCCGTATCGATTCGCCGAGGTGATTCGGTGTAAACTCTACTGAGACGAGAACAGAACTACATGCAGCTAGCCGTCCAGTGCTAGGACAAATAGTGAACTCCTTTAAGTCTTCTAGACTTGATTCCACATCTTCGAGAATTGGTTGACTTAAAAGGTTTGTAGCCTTGTGCACAGGCTTTGTGCCATCATCAACTACACGAAGTGTGTATGTCATTGGTACCAGGGATGTATTAGATAACTCGATTTCTTTCAAAATAGGGAAGCCTGATGGTCAAATAAATTCATAAAGGGGTCAGTTAGCATGCAAATTTCGTCATGACGTTAAAAGTACGCTTTGAATATACTATTTAAGCAAAGTAGATTATATAATCAAGGCAACAACTGAAATAATTTATAATAATAGTAGAAGCTGATACCAATACCTGCCCAAATTATGCCTCCATTATTGACCGAACTCAGTTTGGTGCTTCGATAATGATAAACTAACGACAAGTTTATCATTCATGAGACTCCGTCTTGATTTGTTATGTTTTATCGACT